TGGCTGCATTTTGTTCTCTACAAAGATGATCCCACACTGCTTCAATAATGAGTCTGAGCTCTGGGGAGGCCAATCCATGACTGATTGTGTTTTTCTATCCAGGTGTGCTTTTGCTGCATTGGCAGTGTTTTTGGCGTCACACTGAAAAATAAAACTTTCCACTGTACCGCATGCTGTATCATGGCGACAGTACTTTTTCGACATTCACAATTCCATCAATTTTTAAATATCCCCAACACCACTGGCTAAAACACAGCCCCAAACCATGACAGAGCCTCCACCACATGACATCTGCCCTCCTCCATACTGATGATTATTTAAACCAAAACTACTCTGGATTCATGACTCCATCAGACCTGTTGGCACTGATTCAGTCCAGTTCCTGTGTAATTCGGCATACTTCTCTCCCTGTTTCTCATCCTGAAGAAAGGCTTCTTGATAGCCACCCTTCTACTGAGACCATTTCTGATGAGGCTTTAGTGAACAGTAGTATTAACTGAAGTGCCAGATCTCTCGGGTCCTGTATTAGGTCTTTGCTGGATTTTTTCTATTTCTTTAGGATATCGATTTCACATACCGTTCATCTGCTACAGATGTTTTTTTTTACACTATCATTTCTTTTATTCGTTTGTCCTCCAGTTGCCAAGTTTCCTCATTTTTAAGGGCACACTGCACACTATTGTATGCCAAACTTTTTTATTCTGTCAGTTTTCATAGAAAAATAAGGAAATGTGTTGTTTTTGCAACAGGCTGCCAGTAACAAAGTAGCTTAACAAACAAAACTGAACTGAAAAGAAAGTAGAAAAGCAGCCAATGTCCAAAGAAAAACTTTAAAGGACCTTCACAAAGCATGGAGAACTATTCCTCTAGACGCCTTGAGCAATAGCAAACAAAAATTTAAAAATCAAAATATAATGACTTGATGGGTGGCTCAATACTTTTGTACAGTGCACCAGTATCAAATGGAAACAGTTGAATAAAGTTCTTGTTTGACCACCTTTTGACCAGCTTTGAGTTTATTTTATTGTTTATTTTACAATTGATGTCAGAGCCTGTGGCACATACTACTCAAATGTCAAAAGTTCCTGCTCTTGACAAAACGTGACATGTATACTGTAAACACTGGCTGTAGTTTGAAATTATGTTTCATTTCCTCCGATATTTCTGGATGAGATGTTTTGAATGCCGGCCGCCTAACAGACAGACATGCCGCTGCTGTTAGGCTTTCTCAACTTGAGGCGCTCAAGCAGGGGGTTCACTAAGTGATCCATACTCTCTCTGCGTGTGTGTCTGTGTGAACGCGGGCGTGTGCGCATGTGTTACATCCTGAGACTGTATCCCAGCGTGAGAAAATCAATGAGACCAGTGTAACAGGGACCAGTCCATAAGCATTTGCACACACGCGCACGCGTTCACCTCTGCGCCACACACATTCGCTCTGCTCGCACCCGCGCGCAACATCAACACACTTTCTTACTCTTGTGGACACATGCGGACTGCTCGGCCTCACTTCCCTCCACTCTCTCTGCACGCAGTCTAGAATATTGATGTGCTCTTTAAGAGCCCTTCTCTCTGTCTCTGTCACATTTCATCCATCTACACACAATTTTCCAACCACACCATCAGGCAGAGTGAAAACAATTCGGCACTAACTCAGGAGTTTATACAATCATCACATAGGCTCAGATGGCATTCCACAAGCTCCACATTTCATCATCTCCACATTATAATGAGGCAACGCGCCGCTCTACTGTATGTCACTTTGTATCATTTCATATCGTTAATACATCCGACGTTGCACATTGAGTGAAATATTACTCTCAAACTCTGATGTACTTCATTAAGGAAGGGATTCCACCGACAAAAAATTTCTGTTCTGGGCACATCTGCTTTCATGTACGCCAGAAGAGTTTCCATTAATGCGTGTGTGTGTGTGTGTGTGTGTGTGTGTGTGTGTGTGTGTGTGTGTGTGTGTGGTGGTGGTGTGTGTGTGTGTGTTGATGTGAATGCCATCTCTAAATGCCCTTACCATCGCTTGTTTGATATAAAAACAGAGAAGAGATAAGGGAAAGGCGGTGTGTTTGTGAGCACACATTCATGCATGCACATCAGCGCGAGGTTGGGTATCATGGGGCGAGTGGCAATTACTGTAATACTAATTAGAGAAGCTTTTATGTGTGGTCGGCTTAGAGGGGCTGCTGGTGATCTCTGGAAACTGCAGGAGAGATAGTGTGAAGAATATAAAACAGCACGCGCGGCTTGACGAGACGCTAGCCATACGCGCATGACACAACATGTCAATTAGCATCAAGCACGGTGGCGCGGGCCGCCTCATAAGGTGGATTAGAAGTCTTGCGGCTCCGGATTCTGATTTCGGAGTGGAGCCAACAAATCATCTTTATGGCATTGAAGTTGACAGAAAAACAACAACACTAAAAATACATGAACGACAATACAAGAAGATTACTACCTTCCAATCATTCTGCCAAGCTCGTTTCATCTCTCCCTACTGTGTCATCAGTTTATATCAAAACAAGCAGAAACTGATGACTATCCTCCAATCAGCCGCCTCAGCTATCTTCATGCTCCCACTGTTACTTGTGTTCCTTGTGTTTATAGCAGCGTGTTAGGCTAAGACAATTTATTCCGAATTAAAAAAACTGAACATTTTGCATCTTGTTGTTCTTTGAGTTTCTTTTCTTTTTTGGTGGTTTGCAGACAAGTCGTGAAAGCTTCTTCTAAGATGTTTAAGGAATTTGCTACTTTAATGACAGCAATTCTTTTTTAGCTTCGTCGTGTATCTGTCCCTTGCCCCCTATCTCTCTATCCTTTCCATTCCTTCCCTTGCCATCATTCGCGGTGTAATCTAGGGGATTGTGTGGTCTCTTGGTGTGAGAGGTGATGGGTGCAGCAGGATGAGCGTGATAATCTGCCACACTGGATTACAGCCTAATCTCTAATCTCCCTGGCCCTCCTCTGCCTGGGGACCACCTCCACCGTGCCAATTTTATTAATCTGAGCCCCCTGCATCAACAGCTTAGCTTTGCCCATTTTGATTTCCCAGCTTTCACGGCGCATATAAAGCAATAAGAGCTGAAACAATAGATTGTTGTGACGCAACACTCAGAAGTGAATTCCACGACCCCTGCGTGCTCTATTGGAGGATTTAGATACTGATGAGAGCGTTAATCCTCCGAATGTGAGGATTCATCAAGAATAGTTGCTTCAGGGATGTCCCAGGTTGCCTAAATTGCAGCGAGTTGCAGTTTTGCTTCGCACGTTTTCTGTGTAAGCGCTGAACGTGGGCTCCGACAGCCTCCGATGTAATATCCATCAGAATCACACCAACCATGAAGGTTGCTCTGTCCTGTCTGACTTCATGACCTGAGACGCTCACAATTAATGTCCCATATCGTGGGGTTAAACTGGTGTTAGTAATTCCTCTGGCTAGTTGGGAGAAGGCAGAGTGGAGAAAAGCAATTCCAGTCACGTAGCAGGAAAAAGAAAACGCGATTAACCAGTTTCCTAGCCTTTCTAAAAAATGAGTAATCAGAGTCAGGCTTATCTCTGGACTAATGTCTCTCTATTGTATTGGATCATTAGTTGTGGGAAGAGTGTTATTTACGAAGCCAGGGACTTAATGCACTAGAAGCTGATTGAAATTTGTAGACCTGTACCTGAAGATCTGAATATAAGCGCATGTGTTTGGTGCATCTTCAGTTTTCGCTCTTGAGCAACTCTTTGTACTCGTTTTAGCCTCTGCAGCAACACAACACGACAGGCTTAATCTTTGGCTTATGTGTATGGTGTTTGTAAAAGTGTGATTAAAACATTACATGTCATTGTTCCATATGTTTAGTTTGCAGAAGTTAATGGATCCTAAATTGAAGTCTCAGCTGTGGTTCACAGCATCATTAAAGAGAAACAACTAGAATCCTCTTAAGCTATGGTGCACAATTTGCCGTGGTCCAAAAGTAACCGGGACACTAAGTGGGCAGATGTGTCTCATTTTTTTGATCAATAATTCATGCCTAAAAGAGCTGCCATGTGGCTGAAAGTTGACTGAAAGTTGCCATTTATGCAGAGGTGATAATATGAGGAGTAGAGTGGAGCCATGCAAATGAAGGACATAATACCAGGACTCGCACAAAAGCACAAATCTATCAGAGCACTATCACAGGTACCATCAAAACCAACAGCTGGCCTCCTTCCAGAAAACCAGGTGCACCCAGCAAAAGTAAAAAAAATGGCAAACAGCATGAAGAAGTCTGCATGAAGAAGAAAAACTCATTTATGTCTCTGCAGCCCGTCAAGAGCGCTCTCCAGGATTTAGGCAAAGATTCAACAGTTATCCAAAGACAACTTCATGTCCATAATTTTTTAACACATTCCTCTCCTGTCTCAAAATTTGGCATGTACATTACTCATAATCCATTTGATGAGTCGGGTGTGTTACACATGTAAAGGCTTGTAGCCTTGAGCTGACAACCTAAAGCAAAGATGAGGAGCTCTCTGCAAAAGTCTGCAGAACTTCGAAGCTACAACGCAGACAGTTTTTAAAAACATTGTCAAAATGAAAAGTCCCAGCTGACTAACATCGCATAAGTCTGGTTAAAGACTGACATGAAGGTAAGTCCAGAGCAACTCTGAAGGGGTGGTTTTCCATGGAAACCTGAAATATGAAGGCCCCGAAAATAATTCCGATTTGTCAAAATACGCTCTTATTGGGCATGCTTAATGAAATAGTCAAAAATGCTTTCCTTGCCTTTTTGCTTGCAAAAATGTCGATAGAAAGAAAAAGAAAACAGCCAGGCACAGATAAAGAAAAATGAAGTGAAGCACTCAAAGTCATCACTTATGTTTTTAGTCAATACATTTAATACAAATTTTTCAAGCTGCTGTATTACATTTGTTTTGTTGTTACTAACGGGCAGATCCTGTCAGTGTCTGAGTGCAGAACATCTGTTATTACAGTGTACACTGTGTGCGTGTCAGCTCACCTCTGTCACCACTGTGTGTGTTTTCAGGGTTGAGCGTGTCCAGCAGGTGGACGGAGCTCGTCGGTCTGGTTTTGCTGCGGTCCTCTTGTTGATGGTCTGCTGAGCTCAGGCCATTCTCATACAGCTGGCTCTCACCGTGACGCAGATGCCAGGTCAAACCTAACAGGTGGACCGCTACACACACACACACACACGCAGATTGGCAGCCAAGGGTAAAGAAAAGAAAACAGACAGAGGAGATCATTATTCAAAACATGCAAGAGGGGTGTGTCTGAATCCTTTTTTTAATGCCCATCTTAGAGCACTCACTCTCTTTATGTGCTTATTAGCGTCCGGCAAAGCAAAGGACAATTAGAAAACACGCAGAGAAGACAAACTGTCACGCACACATGCGTGCATGCCTGCGCACATGGCACATGTGCACACCAACACAGAACGTGGCAGTGGTGGGCAATTAAGGCAGATCTTGTGAGTCTGAGCCCAGGGCTAGTATTAAAGCGCTAACACAGGCTTTTATGCATGACTAATGATGCTTTGAAAGCTGCTGCCGATTCACAATCCATATGGGCCTTTTAAACAACAAAGGGTATGAGAGAGGATACTGGATTCCCCCCTCCCACTCATAAAATTGTTTACTAGGACGGGAAACCAACATGCTGTTAAATAAAAACAACTAACACACGCCCATTAAGGAAATGAATTAGTTTTTTGCGAGTGTTGTCAGTAAAGTGTTGAGTAAAACATTCAGCTGTGTTCTGACCAATCACGAGGTTCCATTCATTCAGGCTTATACTTGAGCAGTGTTTTAATTTTTTTTTAAATTTCTTTAAAAGAATCTAAAAAGGTAATGTGCCTTTGCTGATAGGAAGAACAAAGCAAATGAAATAAATCATTGCAGTTTTTTTTCTCCCCTCCTCTGACACATTTGGAACATCAAACAAAAGCAAAGACTTAAATCAAAAAGTTACTATGTGCTGGTGGCAGTCAAAGGATGGCTGCTGCATGCAGATCAAGGTAGGGAACTTCTAAGGACTTCAAACATCTTCACTGTCTGTCCTCTGTCTGCTGATTGCCGACACCCAGAAAAAGCACTTGACACGAGCTTGATAACGCTCGCGTAAAATGGCTGCTTAGAAAAACAAATCCACAATTATACGGCGCAACCAACACAATCACACAGGTACGGCGCAGACTCGCACTTTTCTCATCTGTGCATACATGCATGCATGCACACGCCTCCACAGTCGCCCACACTCCACCCCCTCCTGATGAAGGATACCTAATTAAAACTCCAAATAGTTCAAAGCCATTTGCTGCTACTTTCCTTTGCAGAAGCACAGAGGAGAGGGGTGCGAGGCGGGGAAATAAAACTGTTTTCTCTGAAAAATACCAGCAAATCTATGATGAGCTCTGAGAGTTGAAGCCAACAGGGTCCCATGCCTCACTCTGGCATCTACGGGGATCAGCAAATCATACATTTCTACTTTTGACTAGCACTAGCCACTATTGGTTTAGCTATCTACTCATGCACAATATGAGCTCTTCAAAGCAGAACACTGACGATTACCAGGGCCATGAGGGAGACGTCATGCATCATTTAGCTCAAACTAATTGAACTGTCAGTCTGTGACGAGACCAGACATGGACACGCACAAGCTCCTCACGTCAGTGTGAGTACGAGTCAGTCATTTTTAAACATCTCTTGTTTTCTTTTTCTTTTTTAAAAAAAGGCGACGTGGGGGATTTTTCGCATAAACACCTTGCTGTGAAAGTACCTGTGATGATTCATTTTGATGCTGGAAAAAAAGGATGTCAAACAGTAACCCAAATGATCTTTCTTGTACATTTAATTTCATGGATTTAGCTTCCAGCAAAATCCTTTCGGTTGTCTGGTACTGCCCGTACTGCATCCTTAGCAGACAGGTGGGAGGAGAACGGAAGCAGGTAGAAAGAAACTCATGAAAAAAGCACACACACAGTGAAGGTGGTCAAAATCACACGTATTTGACACTGACAGAATTAGCAAGAGCGCCGCTGAAATTTCCTTTCGACCATGGCAATTATCTTTCTCTTAAAATACACCATAAAATATCATACCACACCTAAAAATGTAGGTTTGTATTCCTCGTCACAGTTTGTATGGCATTATATTTGGCAGTGGAGTGGAGTGGAACAACCTATCATAGTTTCATAAATTAGTCTGTAAGAGTGCTCAGTGAGGGATGACAAGTTATTCCCAAACTGATACATTTGGCATTTCCACCATTAAGTCTCTCAGACTCCATTCTCTCCTCGCTTCCTCTCATCTGAATTGCTTTTCTTGCTCTCCATGTTTGTCTGGTGTCCCCCACACCTCTGCTGGCCAAGTATTACCCACTACAGTTATGACTCTGCAGCGACAGTCCTCACCGGCTCTCCTACCTTCTCCTCGTCACCACTCCATCTCTCCTCAAAACACCCTCAGACCCCACTTCTCCTGCTCCTCCTCATCAGCCCTCCCCCCATTCTCTGTCTCTCTCTCTCTTACTTTATGGCTGTTGACCTTTTGCTTGAACACTTAGCATCTAGAGTTGCACAGCATGCATGCACACGCAAACACACCGGAGCAAGAAGGGAACAAGGACCTCTGAGTGTGATGAGGAGATGATGGAAGAGTGAGCGTTTGAGCATATGCTCTTGTACTTTTGAGGATCTAATGTCCAAACAGTAATATTAATACCAGTGAGGACATATTTGTTGGTTTGTCATTTAAGCAAATGAATTCCGGGCATTTAAAACTGAGCACTCATAGAGCCCATAATGTGGACAGGAATGGGAGTTTAATATATGTCTATCTATTAGGCATGTAGAGGTTACAAGGTTTCAATTGCTGCAGGTTATTCAGTGCCAAAGAGACATGAAAAAAGATGAGCAACTGCTGAGCATGAAGGTTTATTGTTGACCTTAACATTTATTCTGTCAGACCCCTGACTCACAGACAAATTAATATCGTTTTTGGACACACAAACGATACTGGCACAGTCGTCATAGAGATGTCCTGTCGTCCTGGGTTACGCTATCCTACACTCTAGAAAATCACAGAGACCTTGGAGAATCTGGATTATATCGTCAAATGAACTGTGGTGTTAGTTCTTATCTGTGATGATAAAAGGACATGCAGTCTCCTGAGGAAATATAAGAAAAAAGTCAACTACAACCCCCTCAAACAATGTTGGATAAACAAGTAACGGAGTGTTTAATATAGGCCCTTTGTGACACCTTGATATTTTTATTGTTCGCATTTCTTTATTAGATCAAAAGGAGAAATAACTTAATAGAAAATAATTTTTCCCACAAAACCATGTAGAACATTTAAACCTTCACTTGATGTTTTAGAAAATAAGCTTGCTTTCTTGGCAGGGCAATATGTACAGTAAATATCCAGGTACAGCTAGCTGCTAATTAGCTTAGCTTAGCTTAGCCCCATACATTTCTTATTTGTTTTAAACAAGGCATCAGTCCAGTCCATTAATTCACTACCTGTTTAACTCCTTTCCCTTTGTGCAGATTCTCCCTTTGACTGAGTTTCTTCCGATTTCCTGCCTCTTAGAAACAAAAGGGTGGGAAGTGCTGCTGAGCTAAAATGCAGCAGAGCAGTGTCTGTAGCATATTTAGGAAATGCACTGGAGTTTAAACTATGTAGAGCCAAGAGTAGAAAAAAAACTGAACAGAGAGCCGAAGCCTGTGCTTTCAAATCATGAGGAATACATGTACAGATATACTGACCTCATGATTTCAGACTCTGGCCATGTGTAACATACTCATCCACTGTTATAAAAGTATTTATATACGGTAATAGAACCACCCCCCCCACAGGAATCTGAACTTGTTAGTCCACATAACTGCCTGGAGACATTTCAAAGATGGCTACTGAGTGGCAAGAATTTCATCTAGAGAGACACCGGCACCTCTTTCCATTTAAAATACAGAGACGCTCTCACAGACTCACTTCCACACAGTGTGCAGCCAGTTATGCGAGCAGCATGTGCTCAGCCTGACCCTTCATTCTCGCTCTCTTTTCCTCCTGCCTGTCTATCCATCCCTCTCCGCGTCCATCTTTCTCTCTTGTGCTTTGGCGAAGGCACACGTTAGTGAGAGGACTCTGAGTTAGTCCAGTCATTATAACTGGTGAAGGAGCAGCGGCGTCGGCAGCAGCACAGTGCCAGCGATGAGCAGCAGTGCAGTGAGCTAACAGGCTGAGGCGCGCGCACACATGAATCATTGATCAGTGTGACAGTGAGATGACTGCCAGAGGTAATAGGACGGTACCGCTGTGAGGGGGGTTCTGTGCTGTACCCTCGCTGTCGGCTACCCCGCCGAGATGTGTGCGGAGGATGAGGAAAGCTGAAGAGAAGAGCGTGGGGTGGAGGGAGCGAGAAACAGACAGTTCACTATTAAAAGAAGGAGGTACTTGATGTGGCTTTTTCAGGTTTTCTTAAACTACCGTGGAGAGAAATGAGAGAACAGAGAAGAATTCAAGCTGGTGGAAATTTAGTAGCAAAGTGAGGCTTGCTGAGATAGCAGCAGCATCATAAGCTTTCTCACATTAGCGGCTAAAACGCAAAGATGTACAGATTACATAGGAGACAAACCATTTCAGGTGGTCGACATGGCGACAATGCTCTTGTTGTCAGGCATGTATGTGTCTCCATATTAGATAAAAAATGATTGTGTGCTCCGATGACGATTAGATTTCACACTTGTGGTGGGAGAAAGTGGGAGATGTGCATGTGAGCATGCATGTGTTCATTCCTCTTTAACCACTGAAGTAAACCAGATATCGTTATCAAGTATTTGTATCAGTCCTGGGCAGAGCTGTGGGGCACAATGGGGGTGATTGACTGTGAATATACTGCCTTATCGATAAGCATTACAGCCAAGGTAGCACTGCAGTCAGTTAAAAATGATTTATCAATACCCTCACACAAGTGGAAACACATCCAGGCCTGATTGCCAAGTCCTTTTTTGCTCGTAGACATGGCTAACCGCCGACTATATTCTGTCTGACAACCAAAGACTACAGCCGGCTTTGCCCAGCAGCAAACACTTTCAAGCACATCAGTCATTCGATTTAGTGCGTAGTTTAGCATGTACAGTAAAGGCAATTGCTCATCCAAGTTCTGCATGGCTGTGTC